CTAAAACTAACCCAAAACAATATCTACAAGAAACTACACCAAGTTCAGAACTTGATACCTTAAAATGGTGCCAAAAGGTGGTTTGATCTTGGATCTAGAGAGCTTTACTCCTTCAAGGTGGTCTCCTCTTCCTTCCTTCTTCTTAAAGAGCACCAAAACACACCCACAAGCTTAGAAATGGCTCCTCAAGATGATACTAGGGTTGCAAACACGTATGAGAGGGTGGAGGCTGATAAGGTAAGGGAAAATGAGGCTATAATGGGGTTTGAATATGAGCCAAACCCTAAAAATTAGGGTTTGCATGATGGGCACGTACGCCCTGTGTACTAAGGCGCGGCTTAGTACGCTAAGCGTACACATGTATGCATGGCGTACTTACAAACCTCCCAAATTACGAAATTGCCACTAGGGATTCCGATGCATATTTCCTTCTACTTAGGGACCCAGAATGCAACATGATAAAATTATAGGGTTAAATTTAGAAGTACTTTATCATCGGGATGTTACACTCGTAGACTACTTTTTAAACAAAACCAACTGTGTCGTTAGAGTCTCCTAAATCCCTAAGATATTTATACCGTTATCCATGCACATATATTTCACCAAAATCCTTTTAATGTTACTTCTTACCTCACATTTATTAAGGGACATAATAATCATTATAAAATTTTTGAGAACCTAATATTTCAATCAAATTCTAAACATCTCTCTTAATTCCTTCCATCTCATATCCCATTGCATTACTAAACTCAATATATGAACGCATTTCCTCTCTCAAAGAAAATAACATTTACTTTATTATCTCACAACTTAGTTTTAGATTTACATTTAGTAGAGAAAGACACATTTTCAGAGTTGACATCACCATCTGATTTATTCTTCTTTCGTTCTCCACTTTTACTTTGGTTAGCTTGAACCATTGTACATGGCATATCGCCGAACCGTGTGCACGAGAAGATAGGCAAATTAAACTTTCAACATTAAAACCGGTGGTATAATATCAGTTTTGGAGCTATCTGATGTCGCACCATCCCGACCAAGTTTATGACTAGTGGTAAAAGGTGTTCTTTTGCTGCATTCAGTGCCTCTAACATAATGGGATGATTATACAATAATTTCTACTTATGATTGGAAATGACACATCTACACTCCCTTTGTCTAGTGTACTATGGTTCACTCGAAACTTCTTTAACCAACACACTATCTAAAATCATCTTCATTTCTTTGATTCCCCTCCCCCCCCCCCACATCATTATTAACCTTGTTTTGAAAAGTATAAGATATACACTTCTCATCTCCATTGCTTGAAATGTTGTTTGACCGAGGTTGTGTCTGCATTCGAGTCATCATCTTGATTTTTACTAAAAGGAGTCTTGGATGGAACTTATATCACTGACACGTCATACTTAACAACACCATTGTTAACTAAAGTGTTATATTATATAAATGACTTGATCTTGGTGTTAACACACACACTTGAACAAAAGCTATGCAGTCATCCATGCCATCATCCATAACACATGAGCATACCATACAATACAACAACCTTCTTGAATGCACTTAAAGTCTACGCGTAAATAGGTAACTTATAAATCTTCAACCATATCATACGTTCCTTTTACTACAAAATTCCTTGTTATCGGACGAATATATTTAAACATCGATTTCATGGCATTATATTTCTTGAACTTCATATAAGCTTCAATTTTATTAAACTCCACCCAAACTCGTCTTCCACCAACATAACTTATCTTTAACTCGATAAAACCTTGACCTCTGAGAATTTTATACATGTCTAGAATGGTTACCTCTTCCCTTATATTTTTAATTATCACCCTAAGCACATCAATGACTTTCAAAGCATCCACTACTACTAAAGTCACTTTGTTGTTGCCTTCTTTTTGTGTCGTAGATTCAACTGAACCTCCTGTAAGGACACTTGCATACGACACAAGATGTTGCAGTTTGGATCATTAATAGCCTTCCCATCCTCCCATTGTTACTGTTCACAACACATGGTTCTTTGAGGGATGATTGTTATTACGATGAAACTTTGTAATAAAAGCAACATTATGGAAGTTTCCCAATCAAGTTGATGATAAATCCCCCTTTAATACCTTTTTAGAACAACTTACACACGTTCCTACTAATCTACTTTTAAATCTACACCTTTTGTCCCAAGTAAGACTTGAATCCCAACCTTTGGTTTAGGAGACATATCTCTCAACTCCTGATACCATTATGCCTAGGGGTGAGCATTTGGACCGGACTGGATCGACTCTTGGAACGGACCGATGGCGAAGAATATTGTGGAACGTGGACCGGACTGGATGAAACATACCAGGTCCAGGTCCATGTCTGGGTTTTTTGGTTCTTAGACCCATTTGGACCGGTACAACTTTACATGCATATCGTGCAACTTGTTAAAACACATTTTTGGGTTTGATACAACTCGTTAAAACGAATATGTTGTTGGGTTTGATACTTTACAACTCGTTAAAATGAATATTTTTTTTGGGTTTGATACGGTAAAAATAAATATGTTTCCACTTCTTGTGCCATTTGGACCGTCAAACTTTGATTGTTTATACTTTATATCATTTGTTTGAAGGATAGTAACTCATTGAATATAACACCCAAAACAACAAAATTATAGTCCAAACTCATCTACAAACTCTAAAATTACACGTTGGGAAAAACTGCATGTCAATCCGACTTAAAACTAATGAGATATGTTTGTTTAAAGAATTTCACAGAATACAAAATTTTAAATTTTTGCTGAAAAACTAAAAGTTTTCAGCTTTGATATCTCATCTTTAAAAGATTGTTACTCATCAAATATAACACCGAAAACAACAAAATTATAGTTTAAAATCATCTACAAACACTAAATTACACGTTCGAGAAAACCGCATGTCAATCAACATAAAATGAATAAGATATGATTGTTTAAAGAATTTCACAGAATACAAAACTTTAAATTTATTGCTGAAAAGCTGAAATATTTCATATTTGATATCTCATCTTTGAAGGATTGTAACTCATCGAATATAACATCAAAAACAACAAAATTATAGTCTAAAATCATCTACAAATTCTAAATTACACGGTGGAAAAACCGCATGTCAATCCAACTAAAAACGAATGAGATATGCTTGCTTAAAAATTTTTACAGAATAATTTTTTTTAAATAAGCCGGTCCAAAACCGATTTTTACCTGGAACCGGTCGGGTCGGGCCGGACCGGTTTCGCTCAAATCCTAGAACTAAGAACTGGTTCGGGGGTCCAAAAAAACGGTTCGGTCCGGTCCACAGATCCAAATGCTCACCCCTAATTATGCCAAAAGCCATATGGTCTTCTCGAGTGCCTTCTGATCATACACCTTCAGGAACCTCACGCATGCAAGTATTTTCCTATTTTCAGGAGCTTCCGAGCGATGTATACATCCACAAGCTTTCCATAATTTTCAAATACGTTCCATAGGTTTTCTTCGTCCAGATCCTTAAGAAAATATGGTACGTAAGACGTGATTGATAAAATTTTCCGCTTCATTATCATTTCGTCTTACCCTACTACCTCCTTCTTGAGCTTTCACTCCATTCTTCTTCCATTACCTATATGCCACTCTCATTCTTGATTTGTTACAATACCATAACTCATATCAAACCGTCACACACTAATCACCATATCAAATTAAGACGATCGCATTCTCAAAATACACCCCATCGAAAAATCTTGTCGCATGTCAAACACTAGCGTCGCCAAAAGAGAAAAAAAAAGGTGATCATTTATTTAAAGTTATATAACTTTTCATTACTAAATTAGTGTTTTCCATCATCAATTTATTACCAATTTATAATTTTTATCTTAATATTATTCCACATTAAAAGAAACACCCACAAGTCCACAAGACCACAACGATGTTGTTATGCACCAATTTCTAAGTAAAGATTTATACAGTTAAGTAGTTAAGTATAAATTAACTGATTGTATGACTTATTGAAAGAAAATTGGTTTTTAGCGTCGACTGACGAAGGCTTTAAATACAACATGTTGTTATCACTATATACGACCACTATATTGATAGTCGTTGTTGCTGAAACGTGTTAGAATAGTTTGTAAATTCTAACTTTCAACAAATAAAAATAATTTTTAAATAATTTAAAAAAATATTATTGCTTTTACTCAGTAAAAGGATGCGATATTTTGGACTTTGGAGGCCACCTACAACTACAAACATGTGGCTGAAGGGTTATAGACGATTTTTTTTGGTCATTTTGACAATTTCATGTTCTCATTTTGTCATAAGAAAATGACATCAAATTAAATCACTATCGGGGATTCTTAATCTCAACCTTCCGTCTTGATAGGGTCCTCACAATTCACAAATCGACCAAGTAGTCACTATATTATCAATTATTACAGTAGCTTCGGAATCTGTCTTTTGTTTTAATGGTAGGGGTATCATATAACAAAGAACAAAACTTAAACCACAATTCAATAGATGTATACATCTTATTTGAAATTATTATTTAGATATATGAAGCCCATACAACACCTCGCATCGCAACATTTGATGAGTGTGATACTAATAATGATAGGGTTTATTAAAGTCCCATACTATTATATATGGTGATTTTCATGATGACAATGACAATGAAAATAATGAATAAATTAAGATGATTTTAAACAAACTGAAGACGATAAATATATCTGATACAAATACGATGATTACAACCGGAGCAACACAAATAACATTATATTTTTTTTTGTAGAAAATGAAATTCCGTACTTCTGTACTTTTTATATTTATATTCAAATACAATTTGTTATAAGTTTTATTTACAGTTTTTAATTTTAATTTTTTTTGGTTACATTGGGTTAGGCTTTTTGGCCCAGAATTGCTATGAGGATTTGACCCAAAATAATCTATGTAAATTTTGGCCCAATACTGTAAACGATAATCAAATTGGGATTTACATAAAAAACGAAGAAAAAAAAGGAAAAAATATTCGTCCTCTTTGACTTCGTCGATTTTGACTCTTGGATCTACTGCATATGAACAATTGAAGCATCCAGCGTCTGCTTATCTGAAAACCTAAAACCCCCAAATCTCTTTGCCTCTCCTGTCCGAAGCTTCTACAGCCGCATCGATCCATGGCGGAATCCGATAAGGCCAACTCTCTGTCTGAGGTACACTCAATAAGATTCTCCTTTTTCTGTAGAATTTAGCTAGCATATGTTCCGTTTCCACTTCTTGATCTGATGTGTGTTTTGGTTTTTTTTTTTTTTTGATGGTTTTGTATCTTGCGTAGAAGTTAGTATGATATTGTATGAATCGAATCTAGTTGCGATCGAAGTTTGTTTTTTTTTTTTTTTTTTTTTTTTGTTGATTTTGCTTTGACATGTCGGAGACCTAATTTGAATGTAAGAACTAGTGGTTTCCGAATGTAATCTAACATCAGATTTCATCTCCTTTTGAGAAAATTATCAACTTTCATTACTGCATTTATCGGTTTTAGGTATCGATTTAACATCAATTGAACCTCCACTTGGTTATCTTTGTACGTATTCTTATGAAATGAGATCCTCAGTAGGTCATTGTTTACTTAGCTTGAAGGCTTCTGAAATCATACTTATTTTATCTCTGCAACTTTCTGAGGACACTGATTGAGGAAGGATGTACGAATTATCTGTGAAGTCTGTTTCCCTTTTGTCAGATTTGTATTATATGGAATTAAGTTCATTGATATTTTGGGATAAAATCCGAATGGTTTTTGTTGCAGGATTATCTGCTCAAGGATATAGAAGAGAAGCTGAAGGTGGAGAGTGAACCTGAGGAGAAGAGTGCTGTAGTTGCTACCCCTGTTGAGTCTACAGTTGACGGAAATGCCCCTACATCTGAAGATATCAGCAGCCAGAGTTCTGCTTCTGAAGAAGAAAACGTGAGTGGGCCCCCTCCAGCTGCTGACGAGGATGTCACCCGACCCCACCCCAACTGAAGAAACCACTGAAACTGTTGAAGAAGGAGACACCCAAAACGAAACCCCAGAGATTAAGGTAAGTTTCATTGATTTTTACTATTTCTTTAAACAAATAATTTGATTTTTGTTTTTTTTTTTTTTATTTAATTCAAAAGCTGGAGACAGCACCTGGAGATTATCGTTTTCCAACTACAAATCAAAGCAGGCATTGCTTTACCCGATATGTTGAGTACCACAGGTCACTATATTCAATTGAATTTTTGAATTTGTTTTAATTAATTTTTGTTATATATTTATTTATGATTTATGATTTATGATTTTTGATTTATAAGGTGTGTGGCTGCGAAAGGAGAAGACGCGTCTGAATGTGATAAGTTTGCAAAATATTATCGCTCACTTTGCCCGGGCGAATGGGTATGCTTCAACACTTTCAACTTATTAATTTTATTCAGGAGGCTAATCTGACAGGGTCAGATTCAGACTGTTTGATACTACAGTTAGAAGCCCATGATTTGGTCTGATAGTTTTGGATATGCCTCTTACTGGGTCTGATAAGAGGATGAGGGTGGATCTGACTCAATCAGCAACTATCAAACAACAGTCTGTTAGTCAGAGTTTAAAACTTGATATTGTATTGTGTATGCAGGTAGACAGATGGAATGAGCAAAGGGAGAATGGGACCTTCCCGGGTCCTCTCTAAAACCTCTAAAGTCATTCATTACAATGAGAAATGGAACTTAATAATGGCTTTGTCTTTGGTTCCATGTTTTTTTTAAATTGGGTTGGAGTCTATGAACATGTTCAAGACTTAAGAGAAAGACTCCCCCCATCTTTTTTTTTTTTGTAATTCTAATATCATCATCGAAGAGGCTCATCTCATGATCAAAACATGATATAAAAACTGCTTAATAAAGATTTCAATCAATTTGTTGTTGCTTTTTTTTGCATGAATCAATCACACAAAGATTTGTGTAACAATTGATTTTCATTATCTAAACTCTAAAGCTTTTGGTTGTTAAAGTTTTATATTCTTGTGAGTTCATTGTGAAATGGTTTGTTGCAAAAATCATGTTTCGTGCCAAACTCCTCCTAGTATCAACATCATTTGTCTTTGTGAGCTTAAGGAAACATGAGTTGAAACATTTCGAGAGTTTGAGAAACCTTTTATAAAAGGAAGCCTTCAATGGTTCGTCCAATTTATGTGTGTGTTTGTAGAAGCATGGAGGAACAAAATCAAGTTAAAAAAAGAAAGAAGAATTAAGTAGGGAAGACAGATAAGAGGGAATTGCCAATTTTTCGCTCATGTGTGAGAAGGGTTAACTAGTTGAGGTAACTAAAGTTTGGGTGAGGGACAAACGGTGCAACGATGATTTCAATTAAGGACCAAGGTTAAATGAAACCAATCTTATGAACAAAAGGTGTTATGTTTAGCAAAAATCTAGGATCTAACATGTAGTTTACTATATCTTTTATCATATATTACACGAATGGTCCTTATGATTTGGGTCTATCACATATTTGTTCTTTAACTCTCTTTCTTGGTAACTCTCACACCATCCATATGACTTTTATGTTGTTACGACTTATGTCTCTAGCCGACTTAAAATGTCTAAATTACTCTTAATAGATCTTTTAATTTGTATTTTATTAAAGGGATAATGACTTAAAAGGGTAATATACTTTTCGATTTGTACATATTTGATCATTGATTTTTTTTTTCGTCCACATTTAATCCTTACGACTGATTTAGGTAAGTCGGGAAAAATGATTTAATAGGGTAATATATTTCTTACTTTGTGTACATTTAATTCTTATATTTTTTGTTGCAAAATAAGTTAATGTTGTTTTTGTACACATTCAATATTTGTGACCGGTTTTTCAGGTTTTGCTAAAGACATCCTAAGTGCGACAATTAATGAGGTGTTCGAGGCTGTTGATGTTTATGGTCAATGTGACATCGGGTGCTTGGTTGTTTAGGTCTTGTGGTTTGTCTTAGGTCTTCTGTTTTAAACGTCGTAACTTCTTCATATGGTCTCGAATTTTAATGATTTTTATATCCATGTGTCCGTATTTGAGTCTATTACAACTTTCGTTTACATTACTCCCGTTAAAAAGTAATATATTTTACTTAAAATCTTTATATCCACGTATTCTTTATGATTGTTTGTATGAACGTTTTTTTTATTACCAATCCAACGAATCATTAATACGCGTGGATATAAAGACCGTAAATAAAATTATACTCCCTCTGTCCCATATTAATAGTCCATGTTTCCTTTTTGGTTTGTCCCAAAATAATTGTCGACTTCTAAAAGTAAATATGTCTTTTACCATAATACCCCTCATTATTAGTTAAATTACCATAAAATTAAATGTAACTACCATAGAATTAAATACAACAGAAGAGTAAGACTGTCATTTCCTTTAATAAAGTTAATGATAATTAATGTTTTCTTAAATTGTGTGTTTTTTGTCTGTGGACTATTATTTTGGGACGGAGAGAGTATTTCTTTAGATTACTCAAGTTATTATCGTTAAAAAGTAATATATATTTTTACTTATGGTTTTATAAAAAAAGAATGCATACATACGTGGATATAAAGATTACGTGGATATAGATCGCAAATAAAAATATATTACTTTTTAGCGAGAGTAATCTAAACGCAAGTTGTAGTGGACCTGAATACGAATATATGGATATAAAAATCGTTAAAATCCAAGATGGTATGAAGAAGTTACGACATTAAAAACACAAGACTTAAGTCAAACCACACGATCTAACCAACCAAGCAGTCGAGGCCGCAATGACCATAAACATTAACAACCCCAAACACCTCAATAATGATTGTCCTACATAGGATGTAGTGAGCAAAATCTGAAAAACCGATCATGAATATTGAATGTGTATAAAAACAACAATGATTTATTTTGCAACAAAAAAACATAAGCACTAAATGTGTACAAAGTGAGAAACATATTACCTTATTAAGTCATTTTTCTCGGCTTAGCTGGAGTAGCCGGTAATAAGGACTGATTGTGTATGTTTAAACAAGTTGAATGGACAAATATGAACGAAAAAAACACAGTGACTAGATGTATATACATGGAAAAATATATTACCCTCTTAATTCATTATCTCTTTATTAAAAAAGTTATTTTAGAAAATATATGGATCCCATCCACCACCTTAACTCAACACCCGTTTACCTGACCAATACCTTCTTAAATGGACCTTCCTAAGATTGTCATGCAAAGACTATAAGTACAAACAAATTTTTTTGTACTCGAAAGGCAGATACTATAGTACTTCATAAATCCTACTCTATGCCCTTATGTCATGTCATCTGAAAGTGTCAATTTCTTCAAGTCAAACATCATTATCTTTTCATTTCATTCTCAAACGTCGTCTCCTACTCTACCATCTATTGTAATCATCTCCACCCTCCTAACCGCAACAGTCAGTTGTCTCCTCTAAACATTTCTGACCATCGCAATATTCATTCCTTAATTTCTCATTAAGCGACACCACTCCCAGCGAAGTGCTAATTGTTATGTTTGTTACCAGTCCAATAAGACTAAGATGTATGGTTACTGCATGTCTACTAGAAAAGTAACACAACATCAACGTCACATCATTTTCACTACATCACTACTACCACACCACTAACCATTGGAAATGTTCGCGACTCTACATAATCTCTCTCTCTCTCTCTCTCTCTCTCTCTCTCTCTCTCTATATATATATATATATATATATATATATTAGATTAAATAAAAAAACATTATTTTTAAAATTAAATAAACATTTTACTAATAAACAAATTACATTAAAAAACTATTTGTAAAACATACATAAAAATTTAATCTTAATATATATTATATATATATATATATATATATATATATATATATATATAAAAGGGTTTAACTTAATTCAAAGACAAATGGGAAGATATAATGAGATCAAGAGACACAATCTCAATGACCATTGTGTAACTTCAATTAAAAACAAAATTGGACTGTCCTTTTTAAAACAAAGGAAGGAACACACTCTAGTTGTGTGATTGTTGTAATTCATTTTCCGGTAAGCTTCCTTCGAGAACATAACGATTTGGTATTTTTTTCATGCAACCAATCACAACACTCGTATTCATCCGTGAATAGCCCCAATCTACAACACACCCACGCACCAAGTGGCCGGCGTTCACACATAGGAATGTCCTCCACATCCGATTTCACGTGTAGGAATTTATCCCATACCGCTTAGCCTAAGATTCTACCACAAGTCCAACACAATATTCTTATTTTTGGGACCTCCATCCTCCTTTTATTTTTAATTATGTGTTTTAAGTAAACTAGGACCATGGTAAATTTCTAGGTTGGATCTTCATACTTTTGGTAATGGGTTGGTTTGTTTGTTTTGTTTGTTGTTTCATCAATTGGATAATGGGCGAATTAGTATGTGGAGTATTATTATAATTTCCAATATTTATATACGTTATTAGGAATTATAATTAGATAATATAATGTTTCTAAAAAAAAGTAAATGGTTATATTTTGACTTTGACGAGCGACAATTGAAGTACACTTTTATCAACTTATGGTGTTTTAGGCTGGAGGGCGGTGCCGCACTCCCTCATGAAACCGCAGTGATACGTAGGCGTCACCTCACCCATTACCACAAAAGTGTGGTTTCATACCACACCCAAAGAGTGGTGTCACACTTGCGTATTTTTTTTAATAAATAAAAGAGACCAATCAGAAGGAGGGAAGAAAAATGAACCAATCACATTGTTGGAAGGTTGTTTAAAGGAGTGCTCCCTTGGAAGGGTGCAGTGCACTCTCTACCGCACCCAGGGGGCGGTGTTTGTGCTTATGTGGGAAAGGGAGTGCGGTCCAGGCCGCACCCACCCCCTCTGGGCTTGAGAATTATGATGGAATAGATTTCTCTCATAGTTATTGAATACATCAACTTTGACCAAAACGCAACAACCTTTCTTTTGAAACACAATAAGTTGGAGAGAGGTCTAAAAGAGTAATACCAATACATTTCGATGTCTTTGAATATATTTCTCATAAACGTTAAGTGACATGTCCTGTTCTTGAATGAGCTCTTTTAAAAAGTATTCAACAAAGGTTTGGTTTGGACGAAGTACACTAGTAGTAAACAATATTAATTGCAACCTCCATTCAAAAAAAGAGTTTATAAAGGTGGTCCGTTTGAAAATATATCTATATTTCTCCCCTTTTCTATCTTGCAAATTTGAACAATATGAAAGGAGTACTCTGCAAAATATTATCAAGACAAATTGCTTAATCTATTTATCAATATATATATTTTGATAAATAGATTAAGCATGAGAGTTTCTGACCTTCATTAGCCAATATCTAAACACCTAATCTATTAATAAATAGATGTTTTTTTTGCAAAATAAAAATATAACTAAATATTGGATCAATTTATTACTAATTAATGGGCAAAGCCAGTTAACTAATAATACACATGTGTTAATTATTATATCAATTGTAAGACATCTAAAAGGATTGAGACATTTATTCGAATCCTCTTAAGATTATTTGACAATACCAGGATTATTTCATATGAATCATGTTGATACATAAAGCATATATAGGTGTCTTTTTTGGCATTTTGGTTCATACATACACACACATATACATGTATGCATGTGCATGTATATCAGCATATGTAGTAATACGTTTATTAAGCGGCAGACTTTGTTCCCTGGTTTTCTTGTAGTATAGACTTAGACACGATACACATATACATCCATAATATATCTAATTAACAGATAAATTGAAATATTAACTTGGAAGGAGTGCGAGTATTTGACAAATACCATGACTATATAATATAAGATTGTTTAATGCATATAATATATTTGGTTACGTCTTGGAATGTCGAGTCAAAGAAGTTTACGTACTGCTCCTATTAAATTTAATTATTTTATCATTATGTATTATGTTTTAATCATCTTCTGTTAGCGGATCGTATTTTATGACTAAAGTATATATATACGAAATAATAAATTATCAATTCTACAAGGATAAACTATCATAAAATCTTTTTCCAAGAACTTTGGAATGTGACTGACATATAAAGTACAACGATCAAATAAGATATAAATTCTAATTCTAAAATTAATATATATACATCAATTGAACATGCATTATTGTGTTGATTAACGCACGAATAAATGAATTTGTTTGTGCTTCTATCTAAGATCTTCTGGTTTTCATATGCAAGCGAGAAGTATGTTTATAATACAAAATGATCATTTTCTTTTTCTCTCGACAGATATTAAGAAAATCAAGTAATTAAAGTCAAACCCAGTGGTCAACATTCCTTCATAGTTCTTGAATGCATCAACTTTGACCCAAAATCCACTTTTCTTCTTGGCATCATATCTATGGTCCTTTCACTAACAAAGGCCATGGATTTGCTCTTCTTTAGCTTGCTCTTCAAGAACGAAATTTGCCCTTTTCGATTATCATGCATGGGAGATGCTGTGTTTGACACAAGAAGAAGAAACCGAAGATACGGAAGCGAGAAGAAGATGAAGAACATGAAGAAGAAGAAGCGTATGTGGTAACCCCGTGATGAAGATCTCGAGATCTTTTTTAATCGTTCTCTTAAACACACCGAACAGACTCCGGGGATTGCTGATGTTTCGGGTGTTTCTTGCATTTGTTGACGAAGATGATGGTCTTCTTTTGTTGTTCATTGTATGTGTGTTGTGTGTGTTTTTTATAAGGTGTTTTGTGTTGTGTTGTAGGGTTAGTTTTGGCTTCGTTGTTTGGTGGCTTTTGTGTAACGTTGTATATATAGAGGCATTAGGGTTAAGTTTCGATGAGGTTTCATGGGAGTTTCGATGAGAGTTGCATTGTAATTACTTTTTTGACCATTTGTTGCGAGTTTTAGAAAAGTCAAGTGGGGCGAGGCTAGTTTTCGTTGACTTCAATAAGATGCACGTACGGGTCGACGGTGTTCGATATGATATTTTTTTCTCTTCTAAAAACATATAACATTTGATAATTATTGATAATTATGTAGAATTTAATAAAAATATTTGGTTGATTATAATATATTTAAATATCACATCAGAAAACATATAACAAAAGCAAATCAGAATTTAGATAATAAGAAAATTTATAATATATTTAATTATCACATCAGAAAACTTATAACAAAAGCAAATCAGAATTTAGATAACAATAAATTGGGTTAATTTCATAAAAACCCTCAAGTTTTCAGGTTT